CGGTGTTGGATATATAAAAAAAAGTTTTAAATATCCCAATTAACGTATATTATCATGTTCTTCTTTACATAAAGCTATCTACAAATTAAAATCGATGAATGATCAACCAACATGGTGCATTTATTATACTCATTGCATTATTTTGATAATATATTTTAAAATTGTAGTATTTCAATATTTTTTTTTTTCCAAAAAATTGATTACATTGGTTGATCTGCCCAAATTCAAAATGCCATTCCATTCTCCTTCTTCGACATCATTTTCATTGCAACCATAATCGAGCTTCACATGACACCTCAATTGTAAAGTGTTATCATTTTGTAGTCGTCAAATCTCAATTTCTAGGGTTGTAGGTTGTTAGAGAGGGGAAAATATATCGCAGGGTAAAATAGACTTTCCCAAATAATTACCCAAACAAATAATTTTATAAATAATGGGCATTGAATTGTTGCAATTCAATTTCTTTTTATTTTAAGTTTTTCGAATTTTTATAGTCCCCGTCTAAAGTTCAAACACAACATAAAGGATTTCCCTACCTGTTGTGTTCTAACAAGTAATTGTTTGCTTTATTGTAATTTATGTTGGAATTCATTGTCTCTCATATTGTAATATATAATTTTATGTCTTACATGCATATAAAGGTATGTGAGGCTTATTTTTTTTTCTTTCTCTTCTTCTCACATGATCCCACATATGTATGTAGAAGATAATTTTATCTACTACAACATAAGAAACATCAAACTTGTTATGTTATTGCATCTTTTTGTGTGTTTTTTTCTTTCTAAGACCGTTTTTCTTCTTCCAGGACTAGATTCCGGATTGTGATTGTTATAAATTTATAAAGCAGCCAGGCTTGGTGGGTTTTGATGAGTAGTTAAGTTCGGAGAATGGGCCAAAATGGACCCTACTTGATCTGAACGACAACTCATCAGCAGTTCAGAAGATGGGCCTCGAAAACTATTTTGATCTTATCTCAATCTGACCAACTGTCAGACATTGTCAGGCCATTAACTTCATCACGGACCAGGTTTCATCTAAACAAAAAATTGTGTGGGGACAACAATGCAACAAAGAGTTTTATTATATTCTCCTAAAATAAAATTCAAATTATTTTTAAATTGAAACACAATAAATAAATATATTTAAAAATTGTTTCATATTTTTATCATTTAATTATTAAGAATTATTTAGGAAAGTGTTTTGTGTAGGGAGTATTTTGTTTGTAACTATACTAAGTTGATAGGAAAATTAACAAAATATGTTTTTGTTACCCTTTAACCTCCTCTTACATTTCCCACAAAATTTCACTTCCTATGGTTGGTTAAAGGAAAAGTTAACAGGAATATAACTTACACTTTAAAAAACGCCCTGGATAAAAGTAATGCAAGATAAGTAAAATAACACAACATGTACCTACAAATTGAAGATTCATAAAAATTAAAAAAACTTTAAGTATTATGTATCGCTAAAAAATATAACCAATATATTTAAAGTTTTAAAATAAATAAACATAGTTAATTTAAAAGTATACTATCAAAATTAACTTCCCTCACTCGATGCTTATTATATGCCTATGAAGTTTTATTCTTATGACTGAGATAATCATTTATGATATATGTGCAAGCTGACAAACAATGTTATTATTATATGCATCTTTCTATATTTTGCAATGATCCATAATTTACTACGCAAAATAAAATAACTAACAGATAATAAATCAAATTAAACATTAAGCATAAACAAGTAGTTTTTACAATACATTTAATTTATACCTCCAATTTTTTTTAAGATTCTTAAAATATTTCTAATATTAAATATTGCATTAAGAAAAACTTCGCAAAAACAGTTTTGCGAAGAAAAAAAAAAAAACTTTTTACGCTCCTATCTCCCTCCGGAACAAATTGTAAATATTGGTCTTTTGAGGAAATGACTTTCTCTGGTTTGAAACAATATTTTTTTTTTTTTTTTTGGGTAAAACAATATTCTGTTTTCACTTTGTTTTTTCGTTTTTTGAAAATATTTTATTTTTATATTTTAAACATGTTTGGCTATTTTTTTTTTAAAAACATTTGTCATTTTTATTTATTTATAAAATTAAGAAGAAAAAAAAAAGAGGATGAGAGAGAATGTAAAAACACCCAAAAATGACATAATTTGTTAAAAATGACTTAACTTTATACCATTTTAAATCACAAACACCTTTTTTTTTTTATCTTAATTACATTAAGATCGCATCAACCCTTGCTTTCATCGCAATTAAACATTAAGTGTCTAGACGATTCAAAAGCACCATGCAGTTTTCTGCGGTATATTTTTACGGGGCTTTGGTAATTGATAATTTTTTGTATTTCCTCACAATCACAATTTCTTTGAATATGATGGAAAAGTAAATTTTTTATGAATATTATCAAAAAATTATTTCATAGATCAAAATATTATGAAAAATATTAGCTTAAAATTATTGATTATTTTTTTGGTTGATTGTCAAATATTATGAAAATATATAATAATTTTACAAAATTGATCTTACAATTAACATTCAGCCAAAAATTTTTTGAGAGCCAGCAAGCAGTAACTCTCAGCTGAGAAATTTGAATCTTTGAGTCCAACACACAACACAACATAACCTCAGCCACCATTCAAACCTGAGACCCTCCAACAACAAACCCGATTCTCTTTACGAATCTTCAGCATCCTCTTTCACAATGAAGTACAAGATTCCCAAGAATCAGAATCAAACCAGCAGTACCTTCATATCTCTTTTTAGACAAACAAAGAATCCAGAAAACATCTCCGATTAGCTCTGATGTGCTTTTCCCTCATCGTGCAACATATATATATATATATATATATATATATATATATATATATATATATATATATATTGTTGGGGAGGGGGTTTCCTATGATTTTGTTGATTTTTACGTTGAGATGAATAAAGGGGTAGAGAAGAGAGAGGTTAAAAATCGAAAAAAATCATCAAAATCAAAACTTGATGGAAGAAAGCAAAGAGAACGAAGAACAAGAGAGAGAGAGGATGGAGCTTTTTTTGTCAGAAAACATAGAATATTTTGATCCTAAAATATTTGAGAGATTTTTCTATCAACTGGGAATCAAAGAATAGGATATTCTTGAATGGCTTTTTGACATATAAATGATTCACAAATCAAAATCATGGAAAAATTGAATTCCTGAAAAAAAAAAATTAGAATCACTATACCAAACGTAGGTAAATAATATTGCTGATATTAATTTTTTGAAAATCCAAAAGTTGTCCTTGAACCAAATGTCCCTCTAGAGTGAGTTTGGTACCGGAGAAATTTTTTTGTATCCTGGAATCACGATTATCGGGTATATAGCTGGAACAAAAATTGACAGTAGTTTGATTTTTATCTTTTATCTACAATATTTGTTCAGGTTGTGTTCTTGTGATGAATTATATCAGAAGTTGGCCTCCCCACTTATCATCCATGGGAGTTCATGTAATTTGTGGTTTTTTTTTTTTTTGGGTAAACTAAAGACTTTATTTTCAAATCGTAATGTTTCATTTTTATCTTGAATCATTGTGCAGGCTGTGTGGTGTTCCTGTGATGAACCATATCTTGAATCATTGGAAGGTAATTTAGTCTGCCAAATACAATGCGTAGAAACCAAATCATGGGAACATACAATACCCACCTTCTAAATGGAAATTACAATCCACAATCGCTAGTGTTAAATGGTTGTCAGGGAATAAATGATACCCAAAATTTTTTTACGTTTTTCTTCTACCAAACGTGGAAACAAATTATTCCCTCTTTCACTTTCTAGGACATCCAAAAAATTACTCCATACCAAACAGCTCCTTAGGGATAAACACTTCTCCCGTGGTTGGAAAATTTTTTTTATCTCTCACTGATCCATAAATATATGAAATCCGCCACCTAATAAAAATAATAATAATTAAGGCATGAAATTCGAAAACTTTATCATTTATGTCTAACACTGCTGTAATGTTTGGTCTGTGTATTTTTACCATTTAAATATTCGCTGTTTTTCATATAAATATATACATACCTAAACGAAGGCCTTGAAGATGTGCATCCCCTCTTTTAATTTTTTTCATATTTTTTAGGATGGCAATAGATGTTTGAACGCCTAACTTACATTATTCAAGCCTCTTATCACTAACCATAACCCGCGGTAAACGAGACCCATAAGAAAAAGATAAAAATAAAAATTAATTCCATCTAATTTTTGTGTGTATATATAAAACAAAATTATCTAAAGCAAGATAACAAACATATTTTTCAAACTTTTTATTTGTTCATTTTAATTAGCTTTTTTCTTTTTCAAGAGTCTGACTTAATTATCTAGTCAAATAGACCGTGCCAATGACTCGTCCCTAGGTGTAATTTTTTCTATAATTCTACATGCAGATTAGTTTTGATCTTATTCAATTTATATAATGAAATGAACCGAAAGGTGGAAGCAAAATTCAACAAATATATCTCGCATATGGTATGCCTAATTACGCAGCCAATTTGGCAAAATTATGAATTCCGTTCTTAGAAGCTAGAATCATGATATTCGTAATCAATGATCAAAGTTCAGTACCAAATAAATAACGCAATTCCCTTCCCTTTAGAGTGCTATGTATGAACCTGCATATTCTTCTTATAGAATCACTAGATTGTCACACTAACCTATAGGCTACAGCAATAACCATATAGCTACGCCATACTAAGAACCGTCCTTCAATAATGAATCCTCTCATGTATACATGACCGTGTCATAGATTTTAACTATCAATAATCAAATCAATAATAATGATTGTAACTTCCCATCCTTATATTTTTTTTCTCTTACTTTATCATCATTGATCCGCCCATATATGATTAGAATTCTTCTATATGACATGATCATATTAACTAATACATGAGAGGATCCACTCCCGAATTAATGACTATCTTGTGCGAACAAACATAACAACTAAATAATACAGATTAAAGTTCCTGACTTTATAAACAAATAAAAAAAGAAAATTTAATAGAATAAAAAGTAAATCCACTGCCTATGTTCTCATTCAACTTACAAGAAATCAATTGATTTTCGCTTTCAGAAAGTAGTATAAAGTCACACACGTAAAACAGATACCATGAACAGAGTATGAGTTTCAACTACAATATTATAACAGCTCCATAAATCGCGCCAGCGGGCTACCATATAGGTATAAAATATTTCATGTTTCTGTGAAGGATAATTTATCAACACAAACCTCATCTTTGGTATAATACATGGTGCTTTTCGATCTTTTGTGCATCAGCGAGGCTGCAATGCTCCTTGAATGTGTTTAACAGCGCTGTCATAGTGCACAAAGCCCATAAACCAAAATTCATGGTTGTCAACTGAGATAATTTGTATAAATTTTTCGGACTGGTTGGTTTTGCTTATTGATGGGTTTACTGCTCTCAGCTGATGCAGTGGAATCACCACCTAATGCACGAGAAGGAAAATATGCATGTAAATATTTCAAATAAAAGAAAAATAAGATTGAAAATCAGAACTTTTTAGTAAAATAAAATATGACAATCTTGGGCAATCAGACAACATATGAAACGTCACTAAATGCATATAGCACAACTCTTTTCCATATTTAAATTATACAGACTTCACTTTCCTTTAGTATAGCCTTAGGTATCTTATTAAATGCCAATAAATTCCTTTAATACACCTTCAGCAATAAAAATGAAAATAAAAAAGTATTAGCAGGAACTAAAAAAGTGTTACAGCAACATTGGCAAATTTCCTCAGATCCATTCTGTCATTCCTTGATAAAATAACATGGGTCCGAATGAGCTTAATCTCATATTATCATAAGCAATAAAGCTTCAAAAGGCTGGAATAAATTATATGGCCACCTAACAAATATCACAAGCATAGCTGGCACAGAGTTTAAAACAACTCAAATTGAATCCTGACCAACTAAGCACACGGCAACTGAATTCGTCGATCATCATTAATACGGGTTCGAAAACAGAGCACCAAATTATATAATTGTAATCACTAATCGAAATCTGAAGAAAACATTTATTCTCAATTTCCAACTTACAGTTTATTGAAAATCACATTAGTAAATCTCCTTTACTTAATTACTATCAGAATTCAGAAAAAGGAGAGTAAGCATGAGATAAGACACAAGCAAAAAAGTAATCCTCCTTAATTAATTTTGAGTCTTGATTTTTTAAATTTCAAGCATTATCAGTAAGCATGAAAGACCAGTACTGCACTCAAAAAGATAATCCTTAATTCCAAGAAATGCAAAATAACTGAACATGTAAAAATGTCTAATTAAATTTTGCTATGATATAGAAATATGTGAAATTACAGCACTTGAATGAAATCAATTTCTATTCAATTCCACAAAAAATAATAATAAATGTATACTGCTTAGCAACGAATCATCGAAAATGAAGCCATTCATAGATCATGTCATGAAATCAGTTTGCCAAATTGGGAAAGGCATGAGAGATCACAGATATTGATCATATTTTATATCAGAAGATAATAACAAGCAAGATACTTGCAACTTACCTTATAATAGCTCCATTGAGTCTCCTCACCCACTTGGTAAGAAAGTGGGTTATCACTACAAAATGCCAACTTTGCAGTTGACAAATATAAAACTCCCATCACAGGTCCAGCCGAGGTGGACAAATAGCATGCATATGTTTTCAGAAGTTGTTCCTCTGGAACAGTCTCAAAAGTTTGTCTAAAGATCTTCTCATAGCCACCTTCCGCAAGAACTTTTGTTCCCTGAGCAATCCTCCCCACAGCAGCATCAGCAAAACTAGGACCTGTTTTCACTGTTACATGGAAATTCAACATGTACATCAAAACCAGGACCTGTTTACACTGTTACATGGAAATTCAACATGTACATATAAGGCAAGCAAAGGAACACTGCTGAAACACATCATCAAGCACCATACCCACCCTCCCCTCTAAAAAAGGTATATAAGCATGCAGCACTAACAATAGCTCAAAAGAATGAAATCATGTTTCTGCAAAACCACAAATTGAAAAAGAAAAAGAAAAAACAGATTATTAACAGCAGTAATGAATACATACAGTGCTGCCACATATTCCCAGCAAAATCTTCGGCCTTCTTGGAAGCCTCTGCTGCTTTCTTTCCCCATTTTCCAAGAACGTCTTTCACCGAATCTAAAGTATCTGCGCGTAAGGAACATAACATAACTTAAAGGCACTGTCCGTGGATGAAAAACAGTATCGTAAAACAAGAAAAAAAGAGAGAAAGAAAACTAACTCTTAGCAGATGTGGGAGCGGGAACCGGCGCAGGAGAGACATAGGGATTGGATTCCTTGGGCATGGTGGTAGCAGCATCGCTGGAAATGGGTGCACGTGATTCGGGTGTACTGGAACTATTCATGGGTTGTTGAGACAAGGGTTGAGGTTGAGGTGGGACAACATCGTTGGGGTCGAGTTTAGGATAAGGAGCGTAATCGGGAGAGTGAGGATCTTCCGGTTTGGTGTTGTTAGGTTGGGTGTGGGTTTGATCAGTACTCATATCGTTCGCTTAGGTTTTCTCCCTTCGGTTTTGGGATCGGGATATTTGCGGTGATAAGATGCTGATGCTGATGCCGATTCTCAGTTAACGAATCAATGAATCAAGTAAACCAGACAGACAGACCCTCAGGTCAGGACTCAGGAGAGAGTCGTTGAATTGGGATTAGGATTGGAGGACTTCGTGGGACTCCAATTCAAATATCGACTCTTCGAAACCGTCAGATTTTTTGACAGGTTGGTTCCTTAATGCTCTTTCTAGATCTGGCCGTTTTATTATTATTATTATATTATTTCACTTTTTCCAAACTGATAGAATGGACATATATCTATCTATCTACCCATTGGCCCAAAATTAATCCAAAGTTTAAGTTGTGAAAGCCCAGTAGAGTTCATCACTCCTTGGACCATCATATTACAAATTTGTGACGCCGAATGGGCCAGTAGTAACAAGACGAATAGGCCCTATATTATTAGGGTTGGTATAAATTTCAACATGGTCCGGGTCTGTTTAGAAGCAGAATTTTTTTGTCATTTTACTATAAATTCTTTTGAAAAACCGAAAAGTAATTCGAAGCTCTGTATTAACTTAGAACATCACGCCACAGAATGATTTTACTTTTAATTTATGATAGTAATTCTTTATTAGCAGTGCACATCAATTAATTATAATTATCTCCTCTCTTTTTGGATAGCCAGAAAAGACTATATAGTTTATACTTTATACTTAATAGACATTTCTATTTTGTATTTTTATTTCAACAGAATTTAGTAGCACAAAGTACAAAAGCTCGGAGCGGGTCCACGTCCACCAAATAAAAAAAGCATGGATAGGGAGTCAAATGCTGGTATTAACCATTAGATATTTACGAGACGGTGTATTTGAAGATATATTGAGATATTGATAGGTTCACTGGCCAATGAAACGAAAGTTTGGTAAAGAAAACAAAACAATACGTAAATAACTTAACGTCTTAAGTGACATTTGGTATAAGAGAAATTTTTTTTATATGAGAATCTTCATTTTCAAAAATATAATTTTTATATTTAATTTACAATAATATTCAAAAATTTAAAATTTAAAAAAATTCAGTTTATCGAGAATTCGAAAAAATACTTGCTACCACACAACCCCTAAAAGAATCATAAGTGGAATGAAACAAAATGCAACGTAATAAAATAAAATCGAGTATAATAGTTTTTTTTATATTATCACTTAAATGAAATAAAGAAAGAACTTAAATAATAATAATGAAGGAGATGTGATATTCCTTGATGAGATGAGAGAGAGAGATCGAGAATCTCAATGCTCAGCTCATAGACACGGACAGCGCACACAGCAGAGCCTGCTTAGTCTTCATTCATTCATTCATTCTCTCTCTCTCTCTCTCAAATAAATCAAATCAAAACACTCTCTCTCACAGATCAGCAAAAGAGGGAAGAATCATGAGACAGAACAAGACCGAAGAAAACCACCGATCCTCCCTCATGGATCTCCCCACCGAATCCTCCTCCTCCTCCACCACCAAAACCCGCAACTGCACCGGGTCGGAGCTCCAGTCACCACTTCCGGACCAAGTCCTCGAGAATGTCCTCGAGAACGTCCTTCACTTCCTCACCTCACGCCGTGACAGGAACGCCGCCTCATTGGTCTGCAAGTCATGGTGCCGCGCCGAGGCTCTCACCCGATCCGACCTCTTCATCGGCAACTGCTACGCCGTCTCTCCCCGCCGCGCCACTGCCCGCTTCGGCCGCGTCCGTTCCGTCACCATCAAGGGCAAGCCGCGTTTCGCGGACTTCGATCTGATGCCGCTCAACTGGGGGGCCCACTTCTCTCCGTGGGCCACGGCTTTGTCCAAAGCCTACCCTTCGCTCGAGAAGGTTCACCTTAAGCGCATGTCCATCACCGACGATGATCTCATTCTCCTCGCCGAGTCCTTCCCCGCTTTCAAAGAACTCGTCCTCGTTTGCTGCGAAGGGTTTGGTACCACTGGACTCGCCGCAGTTGCCAGCAAGTGCAGGTATTAACAAATAACAACCCTTATGGCATTGTTCTCTTGTTATGTTGTACCCTTTCAAATTTCACTCGATGTGTTTGTTGACTTTTTGTATTGTATTTTTTTATTTTATTTTTATTATTATTGTTGCCAGATTGCTGAGAGTGCTTGATCTTGTGGAATCTGTGGTTGAGGTTGCTGATGATGATGAAGAAGTGGATTGGATATCTTGTTTTCCTGAGAGTCAAACCCATCTTGAATCTCTTGTTTTTGATTGTGTTGAGTGCCCGGTTAATTTCGATGCATTGGAGAGGTTGATTGCTAGGTCCCCTTCTTTAAGGAAACTTAGGTTGAATCGATCTGTTTCCATTTCTCAGCTTTACCGCTTAATGCATCGTGCACCGCATCTCACGCATCTTGGAACGGGGTCGTTTTGTGCATCAGATGAGGCTATGGGTGTTGTTGGTGATCAGGAACCAGATTATGCAGCTGCATTTGCTGCTTGCAAATCATTAGTCTGTTTATCTGGATTCAGGGAGATTTGGGCAGATTATCTGCCTGCCATTTACCCCGTCTGCGCTAATCTCACGTCTTTGAATTTCAGTTATGCTGATATTAGTGCGGATCAACTCAAACCGGTTATATGCCACTGTCATAAACTACAGACATTCTGGGTATGTGTTGTGTAGTCATGCTTGTCTGTGCCATTCTAGAGTGGATTGTAAATGAATTGGGAGTTAAAGCTTGCTTTTGCTTTTGTTATGCAGGTCCTTGATTCAATTTGTGATGAAGGGCTTCGAGCAGTGGCTGCAACTTGCAAAGATTTGCGCGAGCTTCGGGTTTTCCCTGTTAACGCGAGGGAGGAGACGGATGGTCCGGTTTCTGAGGTTGGATTTGAGGCAATTTCTCAAGGTTGTAGGAAATTGCAATCGATTTTGTTTTTCTGCCAAAGAATGACAAATGCAGCTGTGGTAGCGATGTCAAAGAACTGCCCGGAACTTGTGGTGTTTCGTCTGTGTATAATTGGGCGATATCGGCCGGACCCTGAGACACAAGAGCCAATGGATGAGGGTTTTGGTGCTATTGTTATGAACTGCAAGAAGCTCACTCGACTTGCTGTTTCTGGTTTACTGACTGATAGAGCTTTTAGTTATATTGGGATGTATGGAAAATTGATTAGGACACTGTCAGTTGCTTTTGCTGGAGACACGGACCTGGGCCTCAAATATGTGCTAGAAGGATGCCCTAATCTTCAAAAGCTTGAAATCAGGGATAGTCCATTTGGGGATAGAGCTTTACTTTCTGGTTTGCATCATTTTTACAACATGAGATTTCTCTGGATGTCGTCCTGTAAATTGACACGCCAGGCTTGCCAAGAAGTTGCACGAACATTGCCCCATCTGGTTTTGGAAGTCATCAATACTGAAGAGGATAAAGTTGATGGTTTTGAGATACTTTACATGTATCGGTCTCTTGACAGGCCAAGGGCTGATGCTCCTAAAGTTGTTACCATCCTTCATTAGTTTTTTAAAATTCAAGAAGTTGTTACCTTTTTCCTAAGATGGCTGCTGAGTGAAATTACTGAGCGGGGATTTTTGAATAAACCTGCCACAAGATTTCTGCTATCAATGTCAAACAAAGTTGAGCTAACAACTGCTGTTCTTGGCTAGGCCTGCTGTGATGGCAGGCCTTAAAGAAGCTATTCTGGGGGAAACCATTTCTCTTTCTGCATTCTTGTTTATGGAAGAGGACTCAGGTTCAGGAGGGGAATAGAAAAATGGGGGACGGGGCACCAAGAATGATGCAGAAGATGAAATCCTGCAGGTATTGGACCATCCAATGTTGTTGTATCACTATACTAAAAATTTATGTCCTTTTCCTTTTTATCATTTTATCATAAAGGAAAACTACTAGAGTGAGGGAAGGTAGAAATTGCTGAAGCTGCGGTGAGAATTGGTCAAATAGATGGTCTATCGAGAAGCAGATTCAGATGGTCTGTGTAATTTGATTCAGATGATAGTTTAAGCTGTAGGTGGCGAGAATCCAATCACCACTCTGATATAAGCGCATCTCTGTTTCCCTATCTCAGATTTTTGTTTTTCCAGATGTGTTGCTGTAGCGCCCTTGAATTTATTTTTAGTCAGCAATTGTTAGATGGTTAATAAATGCCGGAAAATGGCCTATTTGACCCATTTGATGCAAAATTTAAAATTTATCTGATTAATGCAAAATTAAAAGACTTAACTAAAATAATGCTGTGAGACACGCGAAGAAGTCGTATTCATTCAAGTAGTTCATTTGGGTAGGCGTGACTTGCGCATGCAAGTATGTGTGCCTATTACGTGATGCGTATTGCATGAGTGGTATGTGCGACGTACATTCTCCTGCCCAACTTGAACTACATTTTTTCCATGCACAATTTGAGCATGCATGATTCCTTGCACATCTTATTATATTATTTTGGTAAAATCTTTTGGTTTTTCATTGATTCGATAAAAGTTTTGAAATTCGCACTATTTGTATTATGGTTAAAAGGTTTAAGAATATGCTTGAGTGATATACAAATATATTTAGTGGGACTGTGTTTGTGTTTTAAATTCTATTCAAATACAGTGGGGTTCCATTTTACATGCTGGGTATGCAGGGTTTGAGAACTCCCGAGATTCTCATAAGGAGTACATTTTTTTTTTTCTGTTAATAGTAATAGATACTTCCTTATTAAAAAGAGAAAAAGAATATATATTGAAAATGGTATTTCTTCTCTTTGGTATTAACAACGAAAATGTTAATAGTAATAGATACTTCCTTATCAATAATTTGATGACTTGTCTCGCCGTTAGTGTTTAGCTGAGTACACACTTAACAGGCAGAACAATGAACAAAATGTCACTATTCATTAATTTTTTTATCTAAATGACATGCGAACAGTGTTATTTCTCAATCTGTCACAAGAGCAAGTTCGCTACCCGGTATAGCGAACTCGATTTGTTGACGTGTCACGTTTCTAACGGACACCAATTTGATTTTAACCAAGTTCGCCTACATGGTAGGCGACCTTCATTTTTTTTATTATTATTTTTTTAAAATTTGATACTTGTTATTCATTAAAAATGTGACACGTCAGCAAACCGAGTTCGCTACACAAGGTATCGAACTTGTCACCGTAGCATATTGAAATATCACACTGTTCGCATGATATTTAGATAAAAAAATTGATAAATAATAACATTTTGATTAACAGGCGCGCTCTCTCATACTACATACTTTCTTGATATATTGAAAATGGTAAAAATACATCCAAGTGGGATCTGACTGTGCAAATGAACAAACAAGTGATGGGGAGAAAAGCTTTGGTTTTCTTTCTTGTCTAAAGTCTAAACCATTTTCTGCTGCAGCAAGTGGACCATTGCCAATGCTTTCTCCTACACTTGTCCTTTGGCAATTGGCCATTTTTCCTTTTCTCCTTTTTAATCTCTGACGCTCACCTCCTACAATGAATCCGATTATTTAGCTAAGGATAAGAAGGTTGTGTGGGGAACAGAGACAATAAAGGAACACTCAGTTCTCATTATTTGGTTTATCCATATTGCCCATGGTGGGAATAGTCCCCTCCATGCCACTCACCTCAGAATCAGTCTTAGCTTATTTTGTCATGTCTGTTCACACCTGTGAATCGGACCCTATCCAAAAAAATCCGGGTTAATTCGGTTAAGTGGGTTAAAAAATAATAAAACCAAATTAGACTTCGGGTTGAGTATTGGGTCAAGTAGTTTCAAATCCGTTAAACTGACGATATATAAACTGTAACGTTTTTTTTTTGTTTTTGTTATCTTTGATGTTACCAGAAAAATAAAAATAGAAATAGAAGAAAACAAATCGATAATGTCATTAGGCGGAGATATCCGAAATTATAGTGGTTAGAAGCGTTGAATGATTCTATTGATTATGGTGCTGTCTTACCTACTAGCTAGGAAGACCACAGACCAGTCCATCTCTTTTTCAATAAAAGAATTTCATCAAATTACATAGGTCTGCAATGAATAATGTTTAAACACGCAATCCCAATCTGGTTATCACATGCATTATACTGTTTGCTAAGCACGCATAAACAATCATGATAACAAATAATAATAATAATAATTATTATAGTGAGTTGCAATGCTAAAAAGGTTAGGTTCTTTGGGCTGATTGGTGAGGACCCATCTGGAGTCTGGCCCCACCTCCCTGATCATTTAAGTGTGCGGGCCATGTGTACGGTAATTGATTGAGATACATTATAGCTTTGTGCATATTAAGATATTTTATAATCATGCGTTTTATCAATAATGATATCATCGTTGATAAAATAATGGTGGAGATCCAGAAAGGAGTAGCTAAGGTACAAAATAACACACAAGGAAACCGATAACTGAATGACAAAGGCAATGGCAGAAACCATTGGTGGTGTGTCGGTGCCTTAGTGGGGAAAAGAAATATTATTAGGGCTAAATATTTTTTTGTTATAAGAAAATTATTTTTTACACACATAAAAATATGCGAGTCTTTTTTTATTTTCCTTTTTCTTTTTTTTTTATATGACTATGCACATTTTAATGTGTATTTACTATTTAGGAAATAATTTTAACTCGATATTAAAAGGGCCAGTGAAGGCAAAAGTATTTGGGTTTTCACAACTTTTGTCAGTTTAGCATATTTCATGGCTGATCTAAGCTAAGCACGTGGTCAACCACTAAAGTATGGTGTAGTGTGCTATACCACTATATTAAGTTCTTCCAATGTTGTTATCTTATCTCAAATAATTTTATTAATCGCCATTGTTTTCAAGCACTATTTCCAGGATTGATCTTTGCTTTTTCCTGAGTGAATCCATTGTTGAAATATATAAAAATCATTAATGTAGACTGCTGGGTAAGGCGCTTGAAGGATGGACAATGTGCAAAGAAAGAAATTTCACTACAAAGAAAATGGGGGGTGAGATTCGAAGCCGAGACACAAGGCTCTGATACCATGTAAAGAACCTTGAGATACACCACCCCAAAGCTAGCTCAAGAGATGGGAGTGTACAAGGACTTATAAACTTCACATTAGTTACTCATACAACCAATGTAGGACTATATATCTCAACACGCCCCCTCAACAGGTCCAGCCTACCTGTGCTAAGAAAGTCCACAAGAGAAAGTGGGGGGCGGCGAGACTCTGATACCATGTAAAAAACCTTGGGATACACCACCCCAAAAACTAGCTCAAAGGGTGAGAGTGCCCAAGGCCTTATAAAGGCCACATTAGTTGCCCACATAATCAATGTGGGACTATATATCTCAACACGCCCCCTCACGCCCTTTGGGCTCGAAGCGTGAAATTGCACATGCCCATCACTTTAAAGTGGGAGGCCGTGAGGACCGAACTCGTAATCTTATGGTCACTCAAGCTCTGATACCATGTAAAGAACCTTGGGATACACCATGGGTGGGAGTGCCCAAAGCCTTATAAACTCCACATTAGTTGCTCATACAACCAATGTGAGACTATATATCTCAACACCCATCTCTCATTTTATATGTTAGAGACCATGATCAGCATAGAGTGGCAACTTTTAGAGGAAAGTTGATTGAATTTTCATGTACACGGCAAATGAATCAAGTCATCCTGTGCAGATTTCTATAATTAATATTTTGTAAACTAACAGTGCGTGCACATGTGCAGTCACAATGTTTATGTCCAGATTCTTAAATTATTAATGAAGGATTATTTAGTTCACTGACTTTCCACTCGTTTTACATGAAATGTGCACAACATTAATGTTTACAAGTAGGAGCTCTCCTGTATTCCATCCGCGCTTATCTAGAAATTGTTGCCAAGTAGTACGGATATTAAGAATGTGTATGATATGTTTCCAAAAAAAGAAGAAGAAGAAAGAATGTGTATGATAACTTATATATATATATATCCTAGTCTCGTTCGTGTGAGTCTCCATTTGATGGGTTATCCGTAAACCATTCCGATATATATGGAAAAAGTGTCTATACATTTAAATTACACAACTTACGTCCTTTCACTCTCACAAAGAGGTGGGACCCACAACTTTATTTTTTTTGTCAACTCTCTCTCCTCCTTTATCTATCTCTTTCTCTCTCTTAAAATGACACAACTTTACATCCTTCAAAATTATACACACTTTTCCCTATATATATATATATATATATATATATATATATATATATATATATATATATGTCAAATTTTAAAATTTGACATCAAATCTTAACCGTTAATTTTCGTCAATCAACGGTTATAATTTTTGTCAATTAAATTTATTAATTAATTACTAATTTTTAATAAATGATAATCGTTGATTGGTAAAAATAAACGAATAAAATTTAATATCGAATTTCAAAATTTGACACTGATATCAAAGAATTCTATCTATATATATTATATGGATAAATGAAATGTCACGTTACATTATGTAACCTAAATTTCCTACACACACAATTGAGAAGAAAGAAGAGAGAAAAAAGTTAGGGGATGAGACCCAAATATAATTGTGTATGCAGAAAATTTGTGTTACATCATGTAAAATTACATTTCATTTACCCATATTATTAAATATGAGAAAAATATGTTTCCTTTTAAAGAACACACACTTAGGTTTTTTTAAGAGAAAGATAGACACAAAGAATTATGAGTCCCAAAAAAAATAAAAAAATAAAGATGTTGATCTCATCTCTTTGTATTTATTTCTCTCTTAACAGGATCTAAGTGTGTGTCATTTAAAAGGACACACACTTTTCCCATTATGTATATATTATTTGGAGAAAAAATTGGTTAGAAATCCTATTTGACAAAAACAAAAATTATTTTTTCTGTTCTAAGAAATATATCTTAACTCAGGAACATAAATTATCAGAAATAATTTTTTTCCACTGATATACTATTTATTAATATTGAAATTGAACACACAATATTTATTAAATATATATTCTATCTCAATGAAAATAGAAATAATTTGTGATATCAAATATACATTTTTTCCATCTAAAAGTCTATTTAAACATATTTATTTTGCATCAGAAATAAGGTGAAAGAATAGAGTGGTTATAAAGTAAAAATACTATTTTATTAAGAAAATTAAAAACATCTTGATTATTTTAACATGAATGGGCTTATTTAAAGGTTTCACAGGGGAGGGAACCATAAATATTAAATAACATATACTCACCTAGAAATTAGAGAGAATTTTTACGTCTGCAGTTCAAAATTGTCCAAATTATTAATTCCTCAATTATTAGGTTCGCTCACGATGGAAGTGTTAAGAATGGTAAGGGAGAGTCCAAAACCCAATGAAAGGGATACATCTATGGGTTAAGCGATAAACCACAATAAGTAGGCCGACACCACATCTCAATCCAAAACCTTAAGGATGTAGGTTTATGGGTCTTTTGCACTTATATGATCACCACTTGGTCTATGTCTAGCCGATGTGGTACCTTTCTTATAACTCATACTTGAATACTTTTAACATCTTCCCCTCAAGTGTGAGACCCAATATCATGCTCCCCCTAAGGGCAACTTCTACAGAATGGTAAGGGAGAGTCCAAAACCCATTGCAAGGGATACATCCATGGGCCAAGCGATAAACCACAATAAGTGGGCCGACACCACATCTCAATCCAAAACCTTAAGGCTGCTGTAGGTTTATGGGTCTTTTGCACTTATATGATCACCACTTGGTCTATGTCTAGCCGATGTGATACCTTTCTTATAACTCATACTTGAATACTTTCAACATCTTTCCCTCAAGTGTGAGACCTAATATCATGCTCCTCCCAATATCATGCTCCCCCTAAGGGCAACTTCTACATAAGTCTTTTTTCTTTTTGAACTGTTGGAGTCACACTAAGTCTTCTGCTATCACCTTTGGCTCTGATACCAGAGTTAAGAATGGTAACGGAGAGCCCAAAACCCATTGCAAGGGATACATCCATGGGCCAAGCGATAAACCACTTGAGTGGGCTGAGACCACATCTCAACCCAAAACCTTAAGACTGTAGGTTTATGGGTCTTTTGCACTTATATGGTCACCACTTGATCTATGTCTAGCCGATGTGGTACCTTTCTTATAACTCATACTTGAATACTTCCAACAGGAAGGATTGTTTCTTGGACTAAATTGTAATAATTAATATTCATAACATACTTATCTTTGGTCTAAAAAAGTTAGAAGACTTCTTTTAGCCCTTAATTTTCCATTTGATGATTACATTGCCAAATCAAATGTCCAGAAATGAAGAGAAAGAACTTGATATTGGAGGCTTTCTTTTCTTTTAGTTTAGCAGAAATCCATGGTGTACATGACAAAGGAAGAAGAACCCTTCAGAACCATTAGTATATATGTCGCCTAATGAAGGGATGAGACATACACTAATATTAAAGGGCTCCTGTCCATAAATCAGTAAATCACTCATAGCCATAGGACACCACTCAAATCAGATTGTCGGAATCTTTTTATAGATAAGTTGCTGATTTTAGTCCCTCAAAAGGTTGATCATAACCATTAAAGAAAAAGTTTTTTCAAAAGAAAAAAAAAAAAAAAAAGTAGCATCGTCTCCTGCTTCAGTATCTTTGTCCATTAAACTTTGGAAGATAGCTTTTATTCAATGTACAACACTCATTTCAGGATAAATTTTTCTCCAGTTCTGTTTTATCGAATTTGGTGTCTCAAATTTTTTTTTTACTAAGCCACGGAGAGATAGGATATTCATACTACTAAATTTTTTTACTACCACTTCACTATCACTCTAATTATCATTGGATTAGAGGAAAAGTTGAATGAAGAGAAAGAAAGAAAAATAACTTTTGAATCCAATGGTGATTAGAGTGGTAGTGAAGTAATAGTAGAAAAATTTGATAGTATGAATATTCTACCTCTTATTTTATAGGTCAGTATCTCTTGGAACATAAAAAGTGTTTATCCATATTTATTGGGAAAAAACATTTTCTCGTATTATATGAAAATTCAATTATGATGTTGTGATCCTTTGATTTACGTGTAATTTTTTTTTAATAAATATGAGATTCATCACTAATTGAGTCACAACACGGAATTCAAAATCAAATCCCATTTATTAAAAAAAACGCCTATACAGGGCCAAAGCCTTATCATATATTTCTAGTTCACACACACACACAAAGTAAACAGTTCCTTAGTCTCTAATTTTATTAGGGATCATCAACTTGATGGACGTGGGGGCCAGTCCCTACTCCAAAATTGACAATTGGGTCATCATCCTCAATGGAAGGTTGCTCTCAATCTTAGAATTGATGTTGACGTCATTTTCTATCAAACTGCACTTCAAACAGGACCACGAACTACTTATTTCTCAATGCTAATAACTCATCAGTTCAATCAAGCAGCTCCCCCAACTCGTGGAATATCTTGAAAAGAACTTCAAATCCCATTAAACCTTTTCTTTTTGGTGAATGAATTGAAGGGGAGGAAAGAGCATTCCAACAATTCCTCATTTAGAATCATTAGAATCGTCAACTCTTATTTTAATTCCGTCCCATCTCAACTTGGTTTCTGTCTTTCAAGAAACAGTTTAATGTTACAATAGTGTCCTGAGCGTTTAACAAAAACATGTTAAGATAGAGCTAGCACACTCGTTCAACCTTTCAGTTTCACGTCAGGGGTCACTTCGGCTTGAATCAAATTGGCCTTAAGATAAAGCAGCGTGACTGTCAGATATCAGCTTCAACTTGGTCAAAAGGCGGAGAGGAAGCCTGAAAAGTTGGGAAATTTGTTGGTTTTAAATTCATGGTGGAGCCCAATTTGGTTATGATCGACCTTAACCAAAACAATTGCACCATAATATCAAGACAAGTCCATAGAAGAAGCGTCCAAGCTTTTGGAGAAGCATTATACTCACACGATAAGAAAATGAAAAGAAAGGGGCCTCATCTTGAATAGAAAATGCCTTCGCCCTCGTCATATTTCAACAGGAGCCCCTTTTGTTGTTCACTGAAGATCAGTGCATAGATGATATGAGGTTATATGCAGACAACAAATATACTGCATATTCACCCTCCATTTTGAGACGTCTTTCAACAAAGGTATTCATAACTGGCAAAAAGCTCAGCCTTGATAGAAATAAAGTTTCTTATCACTAGAAAGAGAGGTTCTATTTAATAGTTAGTCAAGTGTCGGTTTCAAACCTCCTCTTTGTAAATAATCAAAGCTCGAATTACACTTACGAACAATCACAATATATTAGAATATCTCATGCTTTAGGATCCACGGGACCATGATTAGATTCAGAAAAAATGAACTCCCCAACTTGCCTTGGTTGCCCAAATATATAACAACTACAATACAATATAATTTAGCGTATTAAATAGAGCTGTAAAAGAATAACAACCTGAAACATGTCATAATATTTGGGATCACAAGTGGCCAACAAACGTTAGGTAGATATCTAATATGACAAATGCACGCGAGGGCTTATTAATACAAGTTACGGGGAGAGCAACTAGCATCGAACAATAAATAGAAGGTAAATATTCACATCATTATTATCGATTACTGTTTACAGGACAGCGTTTAAGGTAATGGAAAGCTTTTTGTACTTGCCACTTTTGAAATGAATATAATTCAGGTTAACTAATTGAACTGTTGAGGCTATCATATATCATATGATACCAACTGATTTATTTATTTGAGATTTGCATGCATACAGTATGCTGCACTATTCCGATGGAATTGCATATCCCAATCTTAACTTTAAATTAGACATGGATCTCCATTTTACAAATATTCAGCGGGGCAAAGCTCATCTTTTTGAAAAATTGCACTTACAATTAAGATCCTGCGATCAAGTCTATTTAGAATGCTGGGAAAGAAAAAAAAAAAAAAACTTGCCAAAAGGAAAGAACACAACGCCATATATTCCCTTATTTTTCACACGTCGGGATACTGAAAAAGAAAAAGAAAATGATTAGGGGGCCAATCGTTCAACTTTCCATAACCGCTGTCCATTGATCTCGTGGGGAACATATCGCAACCTGTCAATAAAACAGGCACAGAATATCATTCAGAATTTCTCATGGCCTCACACTGTATATCAAGTACACATATAGGGGAAAATGCTTAGTAAATCTCAATACTTTATTATTATGCAGAAGAGTTCGGGAAATGCTTACACCAACTATATATTTATAGACCCAACCTAACAAAACACCCTAATAAGATGACCCCATTCTGTAGTGGAATAAGATAATCCAAAATAGGATAAACTCCCTAAATAACAAATAATCCCAAACTGAAAACCCTAATTTAAAATTAAAATACTAATACTAAACCTTGAAAAAAAACTCAGGAACAAGTATATCCAAAGCAATCTCAGGATACGGTGACTAATGAGAGAAGAAAGATGTAGCAACAGCTTTTGGGTGTAAATCTTCAATATAACCCTCATAAACTTATTTAAGTAATTCGATTTGTGGGGGGAAAAATAGTAAATAACAAGTTTTTAAAATAAAAAACGTTATAATATTATTACAGATGTGGCAGATTACTTTATAATGTTATAATAACCAAGTAGCCAGACTAGGATAGATCAACTCAAATTGATAGCATACATAGATCTTAAGTGCATTGAAAACCCAACATATTTTGACTTAAAAGTCATTACGTACATGCTCTTTAACTTCATCAATGTTAAAACAGGCAATTTGAAAACAAGAAACCTATCATAATCGGGGGAACAGACACCTGTCATGCAAGCGAGATTTCTGTCCTTGCCAAAACTCAAACAGTTGTGGTGTTAGCCTGTATCCTCCCCAGTTCTTAGGTTTAGGGATCAAGCTTCTGCAAGCAGCAAAAACAGTATTATTTCCAGTTCCCTTAGAGTTAACAAATGGGAGGAAGGGGTATACTCTTGGCCAAATGAGACGATGAGCTAATTATATTTCCAAATCCAAGCCAACGGAAGATGTGGTAGAAAAATGTTCAATTATTGACCATCACATGGGACTAACAGATTTTATCCAAATTCACAACATTGAGTCAAAAGAAGCTGTTCAATAACTTACCCATCAGCGTATTTTTGTTCCAGCTCTTTGTACTCCTGATGAAGAACATGCCTGCCAGGCACTACAGTACTCTAACGATCAAGAAATTGAAATTATAAGTTTACATATCATATCATTTGGATATATAACAACTAGATTAATTGAAGTGAAGCAGAAGTAGACCTGCTTGCTGACAATTGCTCCAATCTGACTCCCTCTAGGACGGCTATGAAAATACTGCTCTGATTCTTCATCAGAGACTTTCTGAACAGACCCCTCCACCCGTACCTAGGGAAAAAATTAATAAAAAAGGAATAGACAACAAACTGTTAGATATTGTTTTCAATTAGTTATGAGGCATGCCTCCAAAAAGCACAATGACATGGAGTTTGCGTTATTGAACTGAATGCATCATGTTAAATTGGTACACAAACCACAGTTCCAACTTTGAAAAATAACAATAAGAAGCTATTAAATATTAACAAACATAAATGTTGACTTGCAGAAAACCTTTGTTACAAGTAATACTACTACATTTTGATTAATTTTTTTCTAAGTACATTTTCAAAGAAGTTGTAATTTTAATAATATGTATCAAAAGGTATACATTTTTGTTTCTTTATCAATGTAAAACAAGTGAGCAAATGCAAAATAATAGTAATAAAATATTAAGTAATAAATTTGTATAGGAGACACATGCTTTAGTTCATCTTGGCTCACTTATTTGGCAAGTTGTCCTAAGATATATATCATGTAAATCCAAAAAGGTTAAGTTAAAATATCACTCTAACAAACAATGCATGTAGCTTTACAATCAGGAACTTTTCTGTAGTATTAAGTTATTAAATGTATGTACTAGTATATGCCTTTCTATGTCACTTCTTTGTCTGGACATATCTCTCAATACTTGCCTTAATATTTTCATGGATGCAGCATGCTTCAGCTATGAGGTTGATAATAGATATTCCAATCCCCTAAGTTATATCATCTGAAAGAATTTTAGTCATCCACGTCTTAAACATTACTCTTCAGGAGTATTAACTATCAAATATTATACTTATCCTCATTTTTCCTCCCTAGGAAAGTACATTATGGCAAGCTGCGGCCATTTGCTTCACAGAAGAAGGAAGATACTCAAAAAATCAACCTCATCAAGTCCATGTAAGAACAAATCAATCTGAAGATTCAGCTAGCTAGAATGAGAAGAATAATCACCTGCCGGTTTAAACCGTCCCAGTAAAAAAGAAGTGATGCATGTGGATTTTCAGATAATTCATGTCCCTTTTGACTTTCATAGTTTGTGTACCTGTATAAAGTGATTGTAGTAGGTGAACAACACAAACAACCATTTCCCAAATAGCATTGCCAAAACAGTTATAATGCAAAAATAACAGATTAGTACTAACCACACAAATCCATCCTTGTCCAAACCTTTAAGCAATACTATTCGTGATGAGCTGCAGCAGAATGAAGTAGATTAATTTGGAAATTTTAGTTCAGATATTACACATATTATCGAAGTATGTGAGAGTAGTTCATTTTACAAGAGCCCACTGATCTTTAGGCAAACAGTATTTTAACATAAAAAAACAGAGAAGCTGATCTTACGGTTTTCCATCCTTCCCTACAGTTGACAAGGCCATGGCATTTGGTTCCTTCAAACCAGCAGCCAACGCACCATCAAACCATTTACGAAACTGCATGTCACAAATAAAATAGATGTACATTGACAAGTATTCGTAGCCATTGAAGTCCTAGTACTCAAAATACTCAGTACTCAAAAGAATAAGAAAAGCAACAACTGTGACAAACAGTATTGTTTAACATAAACTTTACCTGTTTAATGGGGTCTGCCTCCACCTGCTCTTCAAGAAATTCTGGAGAGATGTAGTTCTCTCTTAGAGCTGAAATATCAATTTGAGGAGGCTTTCCAATTCTGACACACATGGAAGTTCCAGGATATGGTGGAAGTATAAGTTTATATTTTTCTGCAATAGCAGGTGGGACAAATCTACCTCCTAGAAAGTGGTGAGGACCACCAAACTTCTTTGCACATAATTTTGGGGCTGTCAAAGAAACCTATAGAAAACTTAAGCACATCAGTGGGATGGTCTCTCAATAGAAACACAATTTACATTTAAAAGAAATATCTTAGGATATTATATCTAAATTCTAATGTTTAAAGAAACAAATAATGAAACAGATATATCCCTGAGAAACATACCAACATATCAGGTTTGATGCCTGTACCATCAACATCTCCTTCTTCAACATGCCACCCAGAGGGAATATCTACAGAGACTATAACTGATCTTTTTTGGCCAACTTGATTATAATTATGTAAAGAAACAAGTCTTTGGATCAAATCATCAAAAGGAGGCCTTGGAGAACCTGAATAATCAGAAAATAACAAAGTCAAATATGAAATTAAATGGAGTTATTTGTTCAAAAACTTACACAGTAGTTCAGAATTCAGATCCTGTCTTAATAATAGATAAAGCCTATTTAGTTTAAATGACTATGAGAAGAGAGTCCGAAGTTCAGAAAAGGACTTGGAAAGATTGGGGTAAACTATTGTTTAGAATTGTAGCACTCATATTTATTCTAACATGGATCCCATGAGCGACCCTCCAAGAGGAAAGGCATGCCAGAAAGTTCAGAAGAGACAATAATCATAGAAATGATGAGGAAGCATACATAAATAAACAGATAAGCAGCATAGGCAAGACAATGCTTAGAGGCAGAAAAGCAGCAATAACAGTAAGTTGTTCAATCCCTAGTTTTCAAAACATTGGTGAGAACAAAGCAAATATACATTATCAGAAACTACTTTTTAAGAAAAATATGTAAACTACCATGAAATGAGAACCCAAACATCGCATCTACTAGAATGTCAAAGTCATTTGAGAAATCTGACGGTAGATCTTCCACTGACAAGAATGGGATTGACAGTGCTTCAAGCTACAGCATCAACATTTCATGATTCTCAGCAACTCATAATAAACGGAAAGAAATAAATGGCAAGGAGATACAAGAACAAAAAAAACAAAACACAATTGATTTAAAACTATGTCAACTTGAGTTCCATCCTACCTGAGTAACTAATCCAGCATAAAGAGGCTTGGGGGTACGCTTTGGGTAGCAGACCAAGGGCTTATAACCAAAGTGATGCAGGTGACGGGCAGCCACCAGACCATCACCACCATTGTTACCAGGACCACAAATAGTAAGAACACGACTATACTCACTAGGTTTGTAAACCTGTGAATGAAAAACAATTCAACTACAAACGCATCAGCTTTTGTGGACAGGAATTCATAGAGAAAGAGAACAAATTTTCCTCAGAGAATGATTTCTCATTCATAACTCAGACTAATGTAAACTACAAACAGACAAGAATACTTTCATGGTTGCATAAAAAACACTATCAGGTTTTCTCGTTTGAAGCAGCCTACTTGGTTTCAATTTTGCAAAGTTTACATTTTTTATTTTTATTTTTTGTCCAATTGAGATGAAACCTAGCAAACCAAATACCTCAGATATGGAGGCAGCGACGCTCAAACCAGCCAATTCCTGCAATTGAAAGTGCACAAAGAACAGAAATCGAAGGCGTTAAGCATTAACATATATATATGTATATAAAAAAAAAAATAGAGTAGAGGCAAAAACTGCGATGAACATTGACCATGAGCTGGTCGACACTGAAGCCAAGAGGACCCATGAGTGTCTCATCAATCTCAGCGGCTTCAAGCTGCGTCAGGTAAGTTACAGAGTCAGAGTCGAAACTCCCCATGCTTTGCCCCAAATCAGTTACTGTGGCTCCACCACTGAACTTGGTCGAAAATGCTCGAATTCCAGGCCTGAGAATACCCTGAGAGAAAAAAGCAAATATAAGTGTGAAGATTTAAGAGAAAAGCATTGATTTGATAAGGAAAAGAAATGGCTTACGGAGAAGAATTGAAAGAGAGGTTTGTGGAGAGAAGGAGAGAAGGTGCGAATGGTGGCGTGTAGAGCGTTATTATGGGTATGAGTGAGTGAATGGGTAAGGAATAGGCATGTCATGGTTCTTCTTCCCTTCACCAGTAATGAACGCATCGGTTAGTTTCTGGTTCTTCATCTCATCACTGTTCACTGTAGCTTCCTAAAACCGTAAAAGGTGATAATGGTATTCGAGTGTTCCCGAATCATTTTCTCGATTTGTTGACCCGTTGGCTACTTGGCTCCCCCTTCTCCGTTCGAAATTCGGTAGAAAATCAGTATCCGTTCCGTTTCTCATCTTGGTTGGAAAAATATATAAATTAGAATATATTTATTATTTTCTCCCTTATTCAAACTTTTATCTACTAAAAAATATATCTATTCTTTTCTTCGTTAGAATCGAATTTGGCATTTTTTTTTTAAATATTCAGGCGGCTGTATTTTTTTATGAGAAAAACGTTTCCGATGTTACTTTAGATAACTTTATCTAATGTTCATCGAAACGACGTCGTTTTGGGGTTGAAAAATTAAAAAATTAGAGTGATAAAGACTATCATAACCCTGAAATAAATTAAAATTACAAAAATACCACGATTTCCGTCCCAAAACGACGTCGTTTTGATGAACATTAGATAAAGTTATCCAAAGTAACATTAGAAAAAACAAATCCTTTTTTATAATGATTCGTAAGTTATATTTAAAATTAAATTTAAAAATATCGAATTCTTATATTTTTTAGTAATTTCTTAAAAATGATTTCAGACCTTATTAATTTATAAAAAATGTCATTTCCATACTTCACTTCATTTTTATTCCCATGATAATGACAGGTAAATATGTTACTTTCACATTGTGAGAATGTAAGTACCGTTTCAAATATAATTTCTACTCCCATGTTGAATTTTGAAAAATATTAAATGTTAATTAAATATATTTTTAAATTTATCTAAACAATATTTTGAAATATAATCATATCCATCAAAACAAAGGTAATGTTTGATCCTAAAAAGAATAAAAATTAAAAATTAAAGAAAGAAAATGAAGATAAAAGGTAAAAGAATTACCACTTTAATGTGATATTATTAATAAAAAAAAAGAAAGAAAGAATACTTATCTTCTAATATTTGTTTTCATTTTAAAAAATAAACATATATGCAAAATTTTGTAAAACCTTTCAAAATTCTTCCTTTTCTTCCATTTCATTCAACGATGCATATGAAAAATCATTCCAACTCCTTCAGTTAAGTAAGAGTACATACCAATTTGTTAAAATAAAATAAAATTGGTAATAGTAATATAAAGGCAAATATATTAAAATGCAAAAAGCTTATGTAGCATTGCTCTAGTAGGCTATTATTCCTCACATTTCCCATGCCTATCCTCTTTTTTTGATATGGAATATTGAGATAAGTTGTTGAGTAAAAGTTTAGACGACATTCCAGAATTCATGATATAATCCGCTGGACATAAATAAATTCGTTTACTAGTACCCCCGGAAGAACAGAACAAAGTACAGAGAAACAGAGTATCTTCATCCGATTCCATTCAGCATTTTTAGCGTAATATTAATTTAACTAAAGTTATGAATATGAATGGCTTTTAAATACATAACGTTCAATAGTTGCTAGTTCCCGCAAGAATTAAGATCATCTGTCACTACTGTCTTGCCATAATTTCCATAGTACCAGTAGATGAGGACAATTTCCCCTTGTTGACAATGCAGCGGACATTGGGCATATTATTGTGTAAGCAACTTCGAATCACATGCCACTATTTTAACTCGTCCAACATTCTCTTGGCAGTCGTCAGTCTTAATCATTGCATCTTGTAACATGAAGGTCCAAACATTGTCACAAAATCTGTAAGTGTGGAGATGCCCCTGTAATTGAACAGTGAAAGAGAAAAAGAAAACAGGTCAGGTTTCACTAAGCCCATAGAGAGGCCAACAGCAGTATACTAGTAATGAAGGACGAGAGACGGAATAACTACATTTATCGCCTTACAAAGACAATATCATCAGTTTAACTAATTAATTACAAATCTAAAATAAGGTACAGGATGATTCACTGCCGAAAGGTTATTTCAAGATTAGCTGCAGCTAAACGTACCAGCAACACAAAATAGCAGCATACAATCAAATTAGCATTAAAATTCCATGAAACATGAACCTTGCCATTTCAACAAGCATTCAAAAGCTTCCCAGCTAATATAGTAAAATCAGTGGTGTCAAATCATAAAACTTCAACTCTCGTATTTTCATTTGGAGGCAAAAACATGCAATTCAGATTGCAATAGTAATGACAAATTATACGATAATGTCTCAGCAGATTTGTCTAAGGATTCATATAAAATCAAATACCCTAGATTTAGATTAAATCTAGATTTAATTCCATGATGTTGAAATCGTTCCCTGGATCAATAGAACAAAGACTAATATCTTTGAGATGAACTTTAATTCCAAGATGTCTAAGAAAGACTAATATCCCTGGATCAGCACAAGAATCTTAGTTTTATGGGATGAACTCTTTTTAGCTATGTGAATCAGAAGATTAGAAAAATATCAATTTACAAAGAAAGCGACTCTTGCAGATAGAGTGATTGGAGAGCTCTTTTAGGATAACGTATTTCTCTTTCCCATATTCGCTTCAATTTTTGGCCATTAAAGCATAATGGAGGATAACTCTCATATTTACTTTTCTTTTCCATTATTCAATTTTGCTTCTATACACAAAATAACAATAATAAGGCTAAACATCCAAGGTAGAAATGATAAATCTTCTACATTTCAAGCTAGTCAGCTAATTATGTAACATAAGTTCATAACATTATATTGAACAGGATCAGCCACAAGGAGAACAGTTATATATTAGGTTCAACGAGAGAAAAGAGGATACTAAATCAAATGGAGATGGAAAACAAAATTTAAAAATTCTGAAACGTTACTCTTTTTGTTTCCTTTTTCTGTAGTGTCTTTCAGGGTTCACTTTGAAATAATAATTCAATTTTCTGTGAAGATTTCTGCCAGTAAAGCCAAAAGCTATGCATTTTCTGTTTCTTATACAGCTTCCCCAGGGGAACCAAAAGAAACCTCTTCAGATGGGGCATCTCCAATCTCCATAAAGGAGAGAAAACATAAGAGAGAGAGAGACTATATAGGAAAAGGCTACATGAGGAAAACCATAATGACCATAAATAAATAATAGGGAAAAGTTCATAAATTCCCCAGTAGTTTACTCTTTTATCATGTACACCCCTATACTTTTTTTCTTATCAATTACCCCCATGTAATTTTTTTCCATCCAAGTTCTCCTTTAACACTGTTAATAATTGAGTTAACTTGTCTATTTTACCCTTGTCTCAAATAATATTTTAACTTTTCCATTGTTTGGCTTTGACTATGAAGTATATAATATTTTAACTTAGGGCTTGGGTTTTCATCTTCTTCGTCATCGTCATTCTGCATTCTGTTGTTATAAATCTTGAATGAATCATGAAATGATGCTAATTATATAACTAATATAACGTTTACGTGGTTATGGGCATAAAGCTTAGAGACGGAGGATGGTGATAAACCGGGGGATAACTCCCATGGTAATTCTGATATGGAGGTTGTTGATGCCACTTTGCAACACCAACATTCAGACAAGGATCAAAACATTGATTCCTCTCCTCATGCGCCCGTTCCCAATTCCCCTACTACTCAGCTACAAGTGATGATAATAAAAGTGCTGATTCTACTCCTAGTCATATGTCAGAAACCAAAATAATTAGTGAGAATCAGCTTGGATGGATTGAAGGTGAGAGAGAGATAACAAAAGGTAAAATGGACAAGTTAGATAAATTATTAACAGTGTTAAAGGAGAACTTCGATAGAAAAAAATCACAAGGGGGTAATTGATATGAAAAAAGCGGTATAAGTGATAAAAAGAGTAAACCAAATGGGGGTTTATGAACTTTTCCCTAAATAATAAAATATTAATGGTAGTTATAATGACAAAAAAATGGCAATTCATGGTAAAGATAAATGCATAGTTGCTCAAAATTTTATTTCCAGACATTGGCCATCAACTGATTATGAGTAGTGGATTACATACACACCAAATGAAACTCAAATGTTTAAAGCCATAAAATTTAGTAAAATGGTCATTTATGGATGGATAATCCATGTCAACTCTCTATTTGAATCAACAATATGTTTGGAATAAATTGGATTGATAGTTTTGCAAATACAAAGCCCAACGCCCTGTTATTGAGTTAGAAAAATGATAGTGTGCATAATTCAGCCATAAATTAGATTTCAAGTGCACACATATTCAGCTCAAAAAACCAATATACATTCTGGAATATTTTAAAAGAACTTAAATAGAGAACATAAAAAACAAAAAAGCCCATCGTCAGTGAGTGGATCCAGGGGGATCCTAAATATAAGAAAGTTTCCATAATTCAAAACAACCATTCCTAGAATATTCTATTGTCAACATTAAAAAAAAAGAAAGTGTTTTTATGTGTTTATATAACACCAAAAACCACTACACTCCCCATTAAACCCCAACTATGGAGAGTAAGAATGAGGACAATCCACGTAGTCTTACCCTTACACATTTGCAAAGAGACTATTTCTCATATTCAAACCCGTGACCTTTCAATCACAAAAGAACCGTTTTACTACTGCTCTAGGCTTGCCCTCTTATGTCTATACACCACCAGAAAAACAAAAATTGTATGGGCAGAATGTTTGACAAAAGTGTAGGAGCTTCAATTCAATATTGGATAACTATAATCTTTAGTCAACAAAAAAAACAAAGTTATCAAATGCAGATTGCGGCCTGTCGCAGCTAACCCCAAAAAACGTTATAGCGCTATAGCAGGTTGCGGTTGCGAAAATTGCGCAATAGACATATGATAGAAATAATGACGAAAAGAAACAATTTTTAAAAGGCACAAATAGCAGAAGTGACTGAAAGAGACACAGAGAGAGGCAAATACACTAAAAAACCCTTAAAAAATGTCTTTACACATTTAAATTGAGGACAAAATTGACATTTTGCCTTATGACCGTAATATGGCCGAAAATGCGACCACAATGGCCACTATTGCGTTCCGACGCGGTGCGACACAATTTCTTACGGCGAGGCACCGCAACGCACATACAGTGCGATTCGCAGCGCTATTGCGGCACAATTAACTACTATAAAAAAAATAGCCACATAAAATCTTGTTACCGCAACAAAAAACAAAAGAACTTCTTTCAAGGGGAAGAATAAATACAATGATCAAACAATCCTGCAAGCAGTGACTTCATTAATTGTAAATACAAACTAAAATCCAAAAGAATCATGTGAATAAATTCACTTTTACCCCACTTCATAAAAGTTCTTAATGCTGCAGATTATGAAGATCTCTACCATACAAATTCAAGTATTAAAAAAAAAATTGAAGGCAATAAAGAACTTCATAAACATGCCTATCAATTGGCACTATCAGACAATTATACCTTTTTCACCATGTTGACAAAGATAATCAAATTAGCATTATTTACAGGGCTTAATATGGCATCCAAATTTTTTAGTTGTCAAGCCATTTATTGTTTGTTGGCTATACTCAGTAATGTCAAAATTTACAGTGAAAACTAGCAACCAATAAATGTTTGCAGCTTATTAAGGACACAAATACCCTGGGTACCTGTAATAGGGGAGAAGAAGAAAAGGGGAAGAGAGAGAGAGATATAGAACGGGGGTGCCGTTGAGATTGCACGGTTGTGACGTCCAATCAGATTAATGGGACCGGATTGAGGTTTAATTACCATGCGATGAGTAGGAGAAAACACAAGGTCAGATGAACAGGTGAGATTGCACTGCTCCTACGAACCCAATCAAAGGGCTGGATTTAAAATTCAAATTAGCATGAAATTAAATGCATTAATACTATGGTCTCCACTTTGTTGTGCATGTCACCCAAGTGAGTAGAAACGCCATTTTGTTCAACAATACATGATGCAAGGGTTATTGCATCCTATCCATTATTCAGCTCACCCATTGTACCATTCATCTCTTCACCACTAAATCGTGCCCCAACTTCATCTATGGTTCTGCTTTACGCTAGGTAAATCTTGGTCCATCTAGTGTTTGTAGAAGATACCAAAGTCCCATCTGTTTGTCTTGAATCTATGAAGCCCTCCAATCTTTTCTCCTCTCTAACAACTTCCTTAGATAAAGTCACCATGTTCACACATTTAATGAACTGTGAAACCATAACAGTCCACGCCTTTAGGCCCATCACCCCTACCACTTGAGACTGTGAAGAGACCCCGTAGAGAATGTGTCCTCCCATGTACTGTCTTCAAGAGAAAGTCCCTCCCACTCGACTAAAACCTGTGGAACCAGACGACCACGATGCCTAATTGAGCGGGATGCCGCTATTGCACATGGAGAATGGTGTGGGCCAATGGTACCTAAAGAAGCAAAAGGTGGATACGATATGCTTGGGTCGCTTTGAAGGAATGCAACGGAGAAACATGAAATACGTTTTATATCTTGGCTGATGGCGATAGCAGCAAACGGTATGCCACCTGCCCTATCCGTTTGATGATCTAAAAGGGACCAAAATAGCACAACAATAACTTTTGAGACTTGCGACAGTGGATTGGTATCTGGCGGTATGGTTGTAGCTAGAGCAAGACAAGATCACCAATTGCAAAGGTAACATCTTTTTTGTGTTAACAGTCCAATCTTATGAATGTCTTTCAGGTGCATGCAAATTTGGTGACATCCAGACTGCAAATCCAATTTAGAGAAAATAGTATCACCATGCAATTCATCAATGGTGGGAAGGGGAAATTTATCTTGTATAGAAACGGCATTCAATGCTCTATAATTCACACAAAATCACCAATTTCTATCTGATACAACACCAGTTGTAAAAGAGTATTGTAGGAGCATTTTAGGAGATTCCCACCTCTCAATGCTGACTCAACAAAATGGTTAGTTAGTAGAGAATATTCTAAATATGGGTATGGATACTAAATACGGAGGAAAGAAATGGAGAAAGAGGCAATTATTTGGAAATGGACTAGGAACTTAGGAGAGAAGCGGTGCCTCTCGAATTGCATCCATTTTCTGTAATTTCTTACACGTATCTTTACCAAGTAGTTGAAAAGAATTGGATGACTGAAGGCCCAATAATGCATTCAAGCTAATCTTTGGGGAAAGTTGGCTATCAATAATAGTTTCATGTTCCGGGGAAATAATATCAAATTGGATCAAAGGAAACATCTTATGTTCAATCCAAGTATAATAAAGCAGTGGGCTTGTTACATTTACGGCCACAGACAAATTTTTCATCACAATTAAAACAAAGACCCTTGTCCGTCCATGCTTGTATTTAGGGAGGTGTTAAACATTAGATAGGCAAAGCGGAAATAGGGGTGGATCCAATCTGTTTACCCGAGGAAGGGGATGGTAAGGCAGGGACCACTGGAAGAGAGGAAGGGGGGGGGGGGGGGGGGGGGGGGGGGGGGGGGGGGGGGGGGGGAGTTCAAGTATTCTTATTGAGCCATGGCCTTTGAGGTTTCAGGTCTGCAAACTAATTCTCATATACGCGTGCAAGTGCAAATGCTTTGTACCAATCTTGGAGTTGGGGAGTGAGAATCTTGAAGGGAGGTTTGAGAACCGAAACAAAGCCAATGTGCAAGAGTGTTCCAGAAATGCCCTATACTCGGGTAATCAATAGTTCAAATTCAGATTGATAATCTAATACTAAATTAATTCGCCGCAATTTGGTATACGTTCTTGTCGGATCGTCAAATTCAGATTGTCCAAAATAGGGCAGCAACATCGTAACAAAAATGGGCCAGGAAGATGTGACCTTATCAAAGCCCATGAAACCAAGAAGCAGCAAGGTCGTCAAGGAAATAGCCATCGTTTGACCTAGGGAAGTCTGCTGAAATTCCAACAATTGAGCGATGTCTTGTTGTATTATGGCCAGAGTCTCCTGTAATTGAGCATGAGAGTCCTGAAGATTCATAAATTGTTGCTCCCAATGGAGTTTTGCAGCCTCACATCCTTCTTGAAGAGCATCAACATGGTGGTTCAAATCACACAAGAGTATTTTAAGCCATGGTAAAAAGGAGGAAGAGTGCCAATTAAAGCACCAATGTAACAGGGAAGAAGATGAAAAGGGGAAAAGATAAAAATGAGAGGGAAAGAGATAGAAATTCTGGAAACAGTTCTATGCTTCTTCTATTACCACATACAACCCTCAAACGTTCAGGGTTAGTTACACAATCATTCAAGTGTAATTGTAATCCAAATTCAAAGAAATGAAGTAACTTCCCTAACCGTAACTCAAATACACAAAGACTTTAACCTACTACATAATCATATAAATAATTGGGCAGCTTAATTTCCCTCTTCAGGCATGACCAAATAGATTTGACATGGACTATATCCTGGTTATCCAGGCCCGTAACAGTACTGTATCAGGTAGCAACTCCCTATGGTTACCTTATCTCCAGTTATCCCATCCAAGAATTACATTGACAATAGCTAACAAAGTCTACAACGAGAACAGATAATACAATTGTAGCACAAGACAAGAAAGGGGGAATAAACGCTGTTACCTTGATGGAGACCTTGCTTTTAACATGCGTTTCCAAAGCTTCAGTCATAGACTATAAATCCACATGCCATTAAATAGGCGTCAAAACAGATCAATAAAATTAAAATTCAGGTAAGACATACTTTGAAAAAAAAAAAGGAGAGAGAGAATGATAAGGTACCTTGTCGAACTGAACAAGAACCTGAATAGCAAGCTCAGGGCTGAGAGTGCCGTTCTGAACCATCTCGTCCAAAGTCTCGGTAAGGCACATTCCGATCGTCGACCTCCGGTACAGTTCGAACGTCGCCATCCTTGCTTTCAAAACGCGATCTGCGTTGATAACAGATACTGCACAAGCAAGATTACAGAGTGTGCGTTAATAACAAAAATAATACAGAAGAAAAATCGCGTCAGATGTTAGGGAAAAAATTGCAGTGACCGAGAAAAAAGAAAGATCTAGGGTTGGAATCCAAATTACGAATCGGGTAGCGACGTTGAGAGTTGAGAGCAGCTCTTTCCTTTCTTCTTCAGTTCTTGTTCAATTCTTCTTCTCGGTTAACGTTTGGCCCGATAGCGTTTGGGAGCCAAGAAATTTGGGGCTTTTTATACCCTAGCGTTTGGAGCTGAGGGTATATATAGTGCGAGCTAGAAGATCAATATGCAATGACATTTTGGCCCTTACGCCTCTCTTGTTTTGGTATATTGTGCGAATAAATGATGTGATGAAAAGTATAATTATATTAAAATAATTTTGAATACTGCGAGAGAAGCATGTGATGATATCATTATTTAATTTTATTTTATTTTTGATACACTCCTTAATTATTATCAAGACAAATTTCAAATCTACTGATGTTATTTAATGAAGGGATTAATATTTCTCATTTGTAAAATATAAATTTATCTCTTTTACATATAAAAAGAGGAGAGAGAAAAAAATATGAAATAAATTACATTAAAAAAATACAACTATCAACTAGCTTAACAACTTTAAGGAGAAATATGCTTATTTTTATTTAATAATAACACTTAAATTTGAACTTACGATCTTATTCTGTTCAAAGAATTTTTTTTGGAAAGAAATTTTTATTTTTTGTTGTAGAATAATAACACTTAAATTTGAACTTATAATCTTATATAATGATGTTATTTAATGAAGGGATTAATATTTCTTATGTTATAAAATATAAATTTATCTCTTATATATATAAAAAAAGGAGAGAGAGAAAGAAAACATGAAATAAATTAAATTGAAAAAAATACAAGTATCAACTAGCTTAACAACTTTTAGGAGAAATGTTTATTTTTATTTAATAATAACACTTAAATTTGAACTTATAATGTTATTCTGATCAAAGAATTTTTTTTGGAAAGAAGGGAAAGAACATATAATCTTCATATAACTACCTGAATCACTCACCCATAGCCCACTTCGCTTAAATTCCCTTTATTTCCTCATTTGATTTCCTCCAAATCTTTCAATTGTTTAGCTAGATTCGGAAAGTAAGATTTATCGACTTAATCTGGGTATTAAATCAATGAATCATCAATTCAATTAGTAGTGGATCACGTGGTTGAATCACTTGAATAAAATATATAAAATTGATCTGTGGTAAATGTTGTAAGTAACAGTTCACAAAGTCTGCAAATCCTAGCAATGGTACTTTTCAAGCAGTTTGAATTTGACCAAAATTCTTAGAACCAATTTAATTAAAATACTCGAATAAATGCATGATCGTTCCAATAAGTGAACTAGATATGTTGTTGTTGGACTTTTTGTGTTTTTTTTTTTTCATCACCCTTTTTATCGTTACATTAGTTTCATTTTGCAATTCTATTGTGATAATAGAATTAAACAATATTAACTTCAAAGCTCCCTACTAAGATAATAAGAAAATGAGCAAACGCAATCAACAACAGATGATCTTGGAGTTTAAATCGCATACAATGAACCTATAATCTCCGAATGTGTAATTGTCCAATTTTGTTTAAGACTAAAAAGGGTTAACAAATTATGAAGCGAATATCATTTTCATTTTATTCGATTTGCAATGTTTTCTCATTATTTTAATGTTTAGCTCCATATCACCTGGTTAGATCAAGCAACAATTCAAATAGTCTAATGTTCAGTTAAATTATACAGTAACCACAAAAAGCACAAGATAGCTATTAATAGAAACGGAAAAGATGTATCCAAAAAAAAAAAGAAAGAAACGGAAAATATAATATAAAAATATACAATAATGAAGTTAAGAATATATAAAAGGAAATTCATCGTAAAGATAAGAGCATATTTGCTTAAAACTTCATTCTAAGACAACGGCCATTAACACGAGTAGCAGATTACATAGCCACCAAATGAAACTCAATTGTTAAAAGCTATTACCTAGACATGAATTTTTTTTCTTAATTGAGAACATAAAACAGAAATTGAAACTAGCATTTAAAGTGCTGATTTAAGAAAAAACGATATCATCTAAGGTAGAACTTCTGCTCGAGTAAGTGCTTCTCGTTGGAACTGTTACGCCTCATCAAAGACCACGACATTACTGAACTCACGCAAAAATTTAGCATGCCTTTCAGACAAAGCAGGCCCCTGCCTAATTCTCACAGTGGCATTATGCCTGTTCACAAGCTCATCAACACGGGCTCTTTCACCGTTTGTAGTGGATGGGAAATTAGTCAATGCGGGAGATGTTGATTGTAGAATTCTCTCTGCTACAGCTATCAAGGTTGGGAATCTGCTCCATTCAAGAACTCTCTGCCTGTCCGGAGGTTCAAGTATCATAAAGAATTGAGGGTAATTTGATTTTCCAACTTCAAGAAAAGCCTCACAAACATGAGCTACCTCTATAGCCAGTGATGGTTCATTCAACAATGGGGATTTTGGCACCACAAGGGCATCAAAGATAAACTTTAACGGTTCTAACTCTGTCCAAGCCAGAGTTTTCCCGCTACGCTCTCGTACCGGCAAGTAGCGAGAACATGATTAAGAACAAACTTCTTCAGCTGAAATTGGGCACCTAACACTGAACTCGCCCAGATTGCTTGTTGAGGCTGAAATAATATAGCTGCATTTATATCCGAAGGATAGCCAACTAGAGCGGCCATTTCTTTGCATACATTCGTCATGTAACTCAAATATTTCTCAGGGGAGATATTTTTGTAGAGAACTAATATCATTTGGCCTAGACAGTGAAGATTCTCTCTCACAGGTTTTGGTGGCTCAGGAGTTATGCTACATTTATATGACAGATTGATTTCAACTGGGTCAACGCTCAGGCTTCTAAGAGTACTATGGATGATGTCGTCAGACTCGGGAAGGTACGATAGTAACGCTGAAAGATAATTAGCACAGAATTCTTCAGCATCCTCTGCATTGGCCGCGTAGCAAATGTTGCTGCCTTGTCAGAAGGTAACTCTGAGTAAAAGAAGTTGACCTTTCTCATTTGTCCGATTTCAGAGTAAAAGCCATTCAATCTCAAGTCGGCGGAGGAAGGATAGCGTTCAAACTTCGCCATTCTTGCTTGAGAAACACGATTTGCTTCGATAACAGATACTGCAGAAGCCAGAATGCAACGTTTACGTTAATAATAAAACCAAAATATATACAGAAAGAAAAATAGCGTTCGAGATTGGAAAAAAAAAATGGCAATGATCGAGAAAAAGGAAAATCTAGTAGGGTTGGAATCCATATTACGAGTCGGTGGCGACATTGATAGTTGATAGGATAACAGCTTTTTTCCCTTCTACTTAAATTCTTGTGTTTTGCTTCTTCTCGATTAAACTTTAGCTCGACAGTGTTTTGGGAGCGAAGAGATACTCTGGTGATTGAAGCTGAGGGTAGTATATATAGTACTGCGAGCTTGCAGATCAATCTGCAATGACATTCGTGACTTTACGTTTTTTTTTTTTTTTTTTGGTATATAGTAGATTGAAAAGTTATACTTTAGAATTTACTTAATTATTGATTTTTAAATTACTTTCAACTCATCATATGTTTAAAAGAATTTATTTTTTAAAGTATCATGTTTTTATTGTCCAACTCATTTTAAAAATTTACAGAAAAATATAAAACTATAAATATATTTTATTAATTATTTAAGGATTTAAAGTTTTAATAATACTATTAAAAAGGATAAACTCTAACCTTGTTTTTTAAAGTCGTCCTAATATATTAAATTAAAGAATAATAATTTAAAAACAAGCTAATTTCTTATTTTATTTTCTCTAAAAACAACATATATTGTTCTTAATTTTTTTAATTTTGAATTTAAATATCCTTTCAATCTGGATATGCATATTCTTATTTTTAATTATAAACATCTTATCTCTTTTAAATTTTACTTCATTAGAATATTAAAACAATTTATAAAAAATTGTGCAATGCATTGAAACCATCATTGGCTATGCCATCGAGAATAAAATTAAAATGTGACCGATTTCCTAAACTATCAACGTTTAAAACCATCAATAAGAGATAATGGCTAAAATGAAAGTTACAATTAATGTAGGTAAATAAATTCCACCATTTCCCCGTTATACTTCTTGGGGACTGGGATAATCCTTTCTTGTGTTGCAACATTTACCTAGGGACTGGTAGCTGTATTTTTCTTGGAGACTGTTCGTCTTTTGCTTGAATCTCAGTCTCCTCCCAAAAAAATCATTATAAACTTTCCCATAACTAATCAACATATAAAGTCAAAGTTCATAGTAAATACTATATGTGATAAGATATTATAGACCATATCGATAATTAATTAATGATATGAATATTATATGTATTGTATAAAATTTAGCTTATAAATTTATTGCCAAATATAATATTAATTTTAATTTCGAATATGTTGTTTCAAAACTTTTGGAGAACAAATTGTTTAGCATCTCAATAAACAAAAGCTGCTTATTTTAAGTTAGTAACAATAAAAAATAATATACACCAAACAATTGCCGAATATTTCAAGGGAAAAGTTATATGGACAAAGTTTTTTTGTTTAAAAATTTAAAAATTATATTATGTATTATGAGTATTATAGTGTGTATTAACATATACTACCCATAGTACATAATATAATTTATAAGAGTTTATAAATTTTTTGTTTATCAATATAATCATTCCCTATTTTAAGATCTCATAACAAGGATGAGTTATTCTACCTATCTTTTTTGCTGCTTATCTTTGCCTACTATTCTAAAAGATCTTAGATCATAATCTTAATTAACATTTATTTTTCTCTCTTCTCTTTAAATTCTAATATAACGGTATTGGAGAATAATAGGCAAAGGTAGACAGAAAAAATAATAAGTAGAATAGCCTATCTCTATGATAAAAGCTTCAGAAGTAATCTTTAGTGTCCTGCAACAAATAGTTTCTGAATTACGTACAATTATGTAATTAGTATTGATAACACACCTAATCTAATTAAAAAAAAATCCCTTGTTATAAAAAAATTCTCTTGTTAAAAAAATATATTTTCATGTAAAATAATCTCAACTGTTTATATACAAATTAATTGTTTTTTATTTTTTATCTTAACATTTTTTTCTTAATTATCTCTCAATCCAACCACTTTCATATAATTGCAAACATTGATTATAACATACTTTAATTGA